GGCGCGTGCGCGGAGAGGCTGCGCGGAAGGCCGAGGCCGCACGGCGTGAGACCGAGCGCCAAGCGGAGCGTGAACGCGTGCGCAAGGAGGCCGCACAGAAGGCGGCAGATGTAAAACGTGGGGTCGACCTGGAGCGCGTGCACATAGAGGCGTCGCGGGAGGCGGCAATCGCAAAGCGCGAGGCGGAACTGGAACGTCAGCGCAACGAGCAGGCGCAGAAGGCAGAGGACGCGAGGCGAGACGCGGAAGTTGAGCGCTTGCGAGCAGAACTCATGCGGAAGGCGAAGAACGACATGAACAGGATGCAGGTCCACCTGAAGAAAGCAGAACGTGTCACGATGGATACTGTCGCCGCAAGGCCACCATCTCCTCCTCCCCCACCGCCACCGAGCCCTCAGCCAAGCCTGGGCACGCCTGAGCCTCAAACGCGGCCCCGCATGGAGGAGAGAGCCTACTCTGCGACTCAGACGCAGACAGGAACTTGGAGGTTGCGCGGACTCCTGAGCGCTATGCAGAACAGGTTATTTGGATCGAGTCTCATGGAAGGTGAGTAAGATTTCCTCCTTTCTTATGAGATCATGTCCCTGATCACGCGCAAAATAGGGAATACTCTGCCTGTATGAGATTATGTGGTCGTCCGAGCGTCGGGGCATATTGCTAAATAATAGAACTATGTACTGTTTTGTGAGGGATAGCTGAATGTGTTTAATTGCTTCTGCACGCTAGGCGCTACCTGCCTTCAACTACAGATGAGATTTGCACTCAGACTACTTACTCGTAGCATCAGGTGAGGAGCCCAAAAGCTTTAGGGGCGACATTGCACTGGGTATGATCCACCATATAACGATTGGCCAGCACCGGGCGATGGGGGTGAACGGGGTCATCTGGGCCTTGGGGTCATTGTTACGAATCACGTGACCATGCCGCGGTCACCTGTCTTCAAGCATGTCCCGGGACTCCCGTTATCCATCGCCCGCCGTCGTGACCCAGCACGCAAATATTCTCAAAGCGCAAAGTGCGTTCGTTGTATCTTTCTGGCCTACTCAGGAGCTGTTGCTGTCTTAATTAGCAGCACTTCTGAACTGACCAAATGTTCTCAGGGCCTACAAAACATCTCATGTACTGCTATATTGAGCACATGCTCCTACCAGAGCTATTCGACGTCATTCTTGACATGATCCTCGGCAATCCATCTGGTTCCGTACCGAACAAGCGCAAGGAGCCACTCTTCTCCTGCTCACTGGTCTGCAAGAAAACGGACATTTCGCTATCGTTTCCGGACGCTCTCGCTATTTGTCCGTCTCGAGAACCTCGAGTCCCAGAATATGAGATTCTACATCCAAGACATGATGGAACTGGAGATGTTTGGCCATGCTCAGCGGGCTGCGCGCTTTCTCAGTCTGGAATACCCGACAGCTGGGAATGTCGAACTCAGTTTTCCTCGATTCGTTCATCTCTTTCCCCAGCTGGAAACACTAGATCTACGCGGAGTGTTTAGAGCACGCAGCACAAGTGTTTGCTCCTCAGCTGCTATTCCCCACATCGGAAGCCTTAAACTTCATGGGCTGCTTCATGCCGACTCTCGCCGAAGGCCAGATGACCTGCATGCACTCTGCGACGTCCTCCTCCAGTTTGACACGGTCGGAGAGCTGCATCTCTATGGTCGTACGCTTACGCGGTCCGCGCCGTTGGATGAAGCCGCGCTCAAGGCCATGGCGCTTCCACGTGTCACATCGCTCGTCTTGCGATGCGATCCTACCGATCTGCTCTCACCCATAATCCATCGGCTAGTTGAGACAGGGCCTATGGAGCGACTGGACATAGCCTGCTATAACGGCTCCTGGACTACACCTTTTCTCAGATCCCTTGCGACTATGCCGCAACATATCGTCGTCTTGGTCGAGTACTCACATGGTACAGCGTTTACTCGTAAGTCCATTAGATTCTGAGTATCTGGATCTGCGGCTAATTTTTCTTAACGCAGCTCTGAATGCCGACGCTTTTCGCCGCCCCGGCCTCAAACGCCTCACTATCGTCGTTGGGCTGTCCCACCACGGACGTCGTCCACCAGAAGGCTCGGTTCTCGGAAGTGTTTGGGATCAGCTGGCAAGCGTGTTACTTTGCATCTTCTCTGTATCTCATCTGGAGTATGTCGAACTGGTGCTCGCGCCTTCCCGGTATGACGCATTGGTATGCTCGACATATGCACAGATGCTGAACAGACTGGAGATCTATACCCAGGACATTTGTAAATGCGAGGACTTTCTGGTCGGAATGGTACAAGCAGTGCGGCTGGATCGTGTTCATGTCTTTCTGTCTGCTGCACCTTCTGACCCTTATGTGCTTCAAGATCGACCCATGTTAGACCTCTGCTGGTCATGGGATGAAGTAGTCAGGAGATACTTTCCACGCCTGGATAATCTAGGGGTCTTGCATACATAGTCCGCCTAGCTCAGTCGCAATTATTACTCCATTGACTCGTATATAACGTAGCAAGGCCAAAATTTCGAAGCGTTCCCATCAGGTCTCGCACGCCTGGTGCAGACTGTTTCGCCCTCATCTCTTCAGCATTCTTGAGATGAAGAGCGAGGAGTGCTGAGCGATCCACGGTATATCGCGATTCCTACTTTCAGCTTGGAGAGGATATAATCTCACCATCATTGACGAGACGAGCTACTTCCTACTCTGAATCCATTGGTACTCTATGGAAGTCGAATAGGGATTTTGGAATGGCGACAACGACAGCTGCGTATATTTTTGTTCATGTCGTAAAATCTATCGTACAATGGCGGCGTGTATGGTGAAGCTTGGCCTACTCACCGAACCTCCCTCGTCGATTCGCAAATTACTGATGGCGGTGACTCGAACAGAGAGACGTCTTCATTCTCGGGACTGGTCCGTCGTTCTACCCTCGCTTCTACGTCTGCACCGGTTTCTAGTTCTTTGTG